TCATTTCCATAAGCAGTGTTTTTACCAGCTCTATTCATGACATTATACGCCTGTGGATCATCTGCGTTAAAATTATGATCGAATTCATTTTCCCCCAGTAAAAAAGGGAGGCACGTGTGGAGTGAGCACGCGTTTTGACGTCTCTGCTCTGTTTACCCTTTTAAGCCTTTTTAAAGCCTTTTAAACACGTTTTTACGGTGTATTAGTGTCTTTTGTACACTCTAGTGTTTTATTATCTTAAATGCAATGGTTCCAGAGCATCACGTCTTTTAACACAAAGACCCAATCGAAACGCGCTAGCTCGGAGGCTACCACGAGCGCACCACAGACATGGAAAGTGACACTGCAATGACCACGAACGACATTAGTCGCCTCACATTGGAGCTTCGTGAGAGGGACCGTGCCACTATTGCAGACCTCCGTAAAGAAGTCCTTCGCCTCACTGCAGAGCTGCAGGATAAACAGTCACTCGTGTCCAAACTTTTTGATGTTGCTGGCGGGCAGCACTCACGGCTTATGTCACTGAGCGCTGCATACTGTGACACTGTCGTGTGGGAGAGATCTGTCAGCTCTGGGCCCTCTTGTTCTACACCTAAGTGCCCGGTTCGGAATAAAGAGCCTGCGGACTGCGAGGAGCCATCCAGCGCCGTGGCCCATGTCCTGAGCCTTTCAAACCGCTATGCAGCCCTCTCCGCTGACATTCCAGCCCCCTCAGCAGAACCCCTGGACTCTGCAGCAAACTCTACTGCTGTCCGTGGATCCAGGTCCACTGCGAGAAAGACACTCTTAAAGGAAGCTGTCCTCAGACGAAAGAGTGGTCATTCCCCTTCTCTGACCCCAGTACATCACCACCACTTACCTTCACCGGGTCAGCAGCAGCGATCCGAGCCTGCTCCTCTCGCTGCTCCAGCGTCTCCGTGCACACAGCGTGGGTTGCCCGGAGCTGGGAATCAACACCCCCACTCCTCTCCATGTGTTCAGCAGCGCCCTGGTTCGGACCCATCCCTGGATGAGCCCGCTGGTTCTGGCCATGGACACCGAGCGCCCTCTCCGCGGCCGCGTCCACTCTTCGCCCTGACTACTCTGATTGTTGGAGATTCCATCGTGAGGCACGTCCGCTTTTTTAACGCGGTCACTCACTGCATTACCGGAGCCACTGTACCAGACCTGCTCATCCGTCTCCCTCCTCTGCTTCAGTCCCTGCCTGATACCATATCCAAGGTAATCGTGCATGTGGGGATCAACGACATGAAGCTGCAGCAGTCCGAGGTCACAAAGAAGCACTTTATGGATCTGTTCCGCCTTCTCCAGTCCTCAGGGTTATCCGTTTTTATTTCTGGTCCAGTCCCGACTGTAAACCGGGGTGACTGCCTCTACAGTCGCGTTGTGGCGCTCAACATGTGGCTCCAGTCTACATGCAGCACTTTTAACTTTATTTTTGTGAACAACTTTGGCCTGTTCTGGAAGCGTCACGTGGCCTATCGTCCAGATGGTCTGCACCCGAACAGATACGGCATCAGTTTGTTGACGGACTTCCTACGCCATGTTGTTCAGTGCTCCCCGAGGGGGGCGTGACTGTTTACATCTGAGGCTTCTCGGCCCCCACCACCCCCCTCCTCCTCCTCCTTACCAGCACCGGGTGAGTACTGTGGTGCAAACACTGACCCCTGTCCGTCTGGCAGTGTAACGACAGTCCTGCCACTGAACTGTGCTGACTCAGTTATGCATCTGGAACTTAACAAAGTACAACAGAGTTCACTTTTTAAACCAATAGAGACTGTGTGTGTTCCTCGCACCAGCTCAGAAATGTGTTTTAACTTGAATAAACACAAATTTAAAAGAAGGACAGCAGTTAGACGGTCCAACTCTGGAAATCTAATTCCAGTTCTTTGTAATCAATCAACTAAACCCATTGACACTGATATTAATTTTAACCTTGCTCTACTTAATGTCAGATCACTATGCAACAAATCATTTTTAATTAATAATTTATCTGTTCGTATGATCTTGATTTTATGTTTATGACTGAAACATGGCTTGACCATAATACAGGCGATGCAGTTTTAATAGAAGCCTCACCACCAAATTTCAAATTTGAATATGAAACACGAGAAAATAAAAGGGGGGGGGGCATAGCAGCAGTTTTTAAAGATCGTATTGTCTCCCATAGAGTGTCTCTTGGGAAATTTTCATCATTTGAGTATGTTTCTTTTAAAATAGAACAAAAGAAATCTTCTTCCATTCTTATTATTGTTGTGTACAAGCCGCCACAGTCATGCCATAGTTTCACTGATCATTTCACTGAGTTGCTTTCAGTTGTGTGCACAGATTTTGATGGTTTAGTCATTATAGGCGATTTTAATATTCATGTGGATAATGTTAATGACAGATACGCAAAAGAGCTGAGTTCCATACTTGAATCCTTTGGCCTCACTCAGCATGTGAGTGGCCCCACCCATAGCAGAGGACACACCCTGGACCTGCTTATCACGAAAGGGGTGAATATTTCAAAAGTTAATGTAGTTGATGTTGCTCTGTCGGATCATTTCTGTGTATTTTTTAACATGTATTTTGCTACCAGACCACCCGCTAAATATGAAATTGTTAGAAGTAGACACTTAAATGAAAACACGGGTGAACTATTTATGGGAATGATCCATTTTGAGAACACATCATGTTCTACTGTAGATGAACTGTTTAACTCTGTCACCTCTAGTGTGTTGAATGTTCTGGACGCCATTGCCCCTGTGAAGGTAAAAATGGTCACAAATAAGCAAAAAGCCCCATGGATAAAAGCAGGCCCGGTCAGGGCACAGAAGCAAGAGTGCCGGAGAGCAGAGAGAAAGTGGAGAAAGTCCAACCTCCAGGGTGATTATAAACTCTTAAAAGAGAAGTTGTGTGAGTTTAACAGAGTACTACGTAGAACAAGAGAATTATACTTTTCTGAAACTATTGAAGGCTGCAGCAATAATCTGCGTGTTCTATTTTCAACAATCAATAGATTAACGAACCCCCCTGTTGAGTTGCCATTAGAACACTACTCCAAATCCAGGTGTAATGAGTTTGCACAGTTCTTCAGAGACAAGGTTCAGGGTATCAGAAATACCATCACCTCTACAACACAAGTAACAATGCAACATCCAGTGAGGCTTTGTGAGCTAGCTCAATTTGCACCTGTCAATGATGAAACTGTTAAAAAGATAATCACAGGTCTTAGTTCCTCTACCTGCAGTCTGGATGTACTACCTCCTAGATTTCTGAAGTCTGTTATGTGTAGTCTATTACCCTCATTGACACAAATAGTAAACATGTCTTTTTTATCTGGAACATTTCCAATGGCCCTGAAAAAGGCAGTCATCAGGCCCCTCCTAAAAAAGAGCAGTTTGGATGCTGCGGTACTTGAAAATTACCGTCCCATCTCAAATCTGCCATTCATGGGAAAAATTCTTGAAAAAGTTGCCTACCAACAACTTACTGAATTTTTAATATCTAATGACTCATTTAACATGTTTCAGTCTGGCTTTAGACCACACCACAGTACTGAGACCGCTCTAGTCAAGGTAACAAATGATATTCGGCTTAACACTGATGCAGGAAAAGTCTCTGTTTTAGTCATGTTAGATCTGAGTGCCGCTTTCGACACCGTTGACCATGAGATTCTCATGCAGAGACTGGAGGACTGGGTTGGTGTTGCTGGTACTGCCCTAAGCTGGTTTAGGTCCTATCTAGAAGAAAGGAAGTATTGTGTGGAGATTGGAGACTATGTCTCAGATAATATGGCCCTGACCTGCGGAGTGCCACAGGGGTCGATTCTGGGACCTCTCCTGTTCAATATTTACATGCTGCCATTAGGTCAGTTAATTCAAAGTATGAAAGTGTCCTACCACAATTACGCTGATGACACTCAGATCTATGTCTCACTGACTGCAGGAGAGCATGGACCGGTGGACTCACTCCTTCGCTGTATCCAGCGGATCAGTGAGTGGATGCAATGCAATTTTCTCCAGCTAAATGCGGACAAAACCGAAATGATTGTCTTTGGTCCCGAGAAACAAAGAGAGACCGTCATTTGTCACCTTCAGTCTCTCTCCCTAAGGCCTTTAAATAAGGTCAGAAATCTGGGAGTAATAATGGACTCTGACTTAAACTTCAATAGCCACATTGGATCGGTAACATCAGCAGCTTTTTATATCATCTGAAAAATATTGCCAAAATTAAAAATATTGTGTCCAGGGCAGACTTGGAGATTCTTATCCATTCTTTTGTTTCCAGTAGGCTGGATTACTGCAATGGCCTGCTCACAGGTATCTCCAAACATGCAGTAAAACAGCTGCAGTATATTCAAAATGCTGCAGCCCGAGTCCTGACTAGAACCAGGAAGTACGACCACATTAGTCCGGTCCTCAGGTCTCTGCACTGGCTTCCCGTGGCCCAGAGGATAGACTTTAAAGCAGCTCTCCTGGTGTACAAGTCTCTCCATGGCCTTGCACCAAAGTACATCCATGATATGCTAGTCCCATATGAACCAGCCCGGACTCTGAGGAGCGCAGGGACGGGACTCCTGTTAGTGCCCAGAGTCAGGACTAGACAGGGGGAGGCTGCTTTTCAGATTTATGCAGCTAAAGTCTGGAACAGTCTTCCTGAGGATGTGAGACTGGCTGCCTCTCTGTCAATGTTCAAATCCATGTTAAAGACTTTTCTTTTTTCCTGTGCATACAACTAGAGAATTTTATCTTTTTAACATACCTTGTTATTTATTGTTGTAACTTTTTGTGTTTTTAACTATTTTATTGTTTTTAATTACTTGTGTGATTCTTATGTTTTTAAATTACTTATGTGATTTTAATGCTTTTTAATTACATATGTGTTTTTAATTGTATTTTAATGGTGATGATTTGTGCATTGTGTGGTGTGGACTGTGAGGCGCTTTGTGTTGCCCTGTGCAGGAAAAGCGCCCTATAAATAAAGATTGATTGATTGATTGATTACTTGATGCATACCTGGTGATCTGAAGGTCCAGGCCTCGTCGTCATCAAAGTGCGTGTCTCCGGCTGTGAACCTCTCTCCGGGGAAGAAGGCGTGGGCCACCGTGCCTCCTGGTCCGTCGAAGGGGTATCCGTCATCGTGGTCGGCTTTGGTGAAGTCGATCTGGATGTCGGCGTCGCTGCCTGCCACCTCATGGAAGTTTAGAGGAGCGATGTCACTCCACACCTTCAGGGCGTAGTACATGAGAGCGCGCACCGTGTCTCTGCCCAGGAGCCCCGCGGAGTCCTTTGGGAATGTCCTCACCCTGCAGGACAGAGGAAGAGTACTTTAAGTCAGATGGTTATGATTATACGAGACACTGGACTATGGCTCATTGACATTATGCTCAAACACCGCAATTAGATCAATGTGTTGTGTGCATATTCACTGCCATTGTGTTGATACTTAATGTTGCAGATCTCGCCCAGTTCCATCAACTTAAAATGTGAAACCAATGTCTGATACAGACATACCAAAGCATGTTTGTATACAGTTCATTTTCAAATATTCTAATGATCTGTGAGGTTTTTTGGGAGCGTTTACAAGATGTGAGTAACTATCAACAATATAATAAATAAATGCTTGCTTTATCTCACTTTGTTTGTAATGAGTCAAGTGTTGTTGTCAGATTGTAAAGTAAATGGACTTTTGTATCACCAGAGTATCACTTGTAAGTTGTGAGAAAGTTGGTGGAGACTATTGAGAGTATTATAGGAGTGGACTGACATAGAACTGTTGTCAGCCATAGTGTTAGCCTCAACGCGGAAGAGGCCAATTAGTGCAAGCTCAAACAGGATATTTGAGTGATTGTGGAAACAAATGTATACACATTTTGTTGGACGTAACGGTCGAGTTACTAAGTGCCAATCTGGAGCAGCAACAAAAGGCCCCTGATTGGGCAGTAGTTTGGGATCATATCTGGATTTACACAGACAATAGCACAATATAAACACCAGAATCATACAGACTTAGGGTGTATTCAGACCAGAAAAGTCCTTTGCTCCGCTTGCTTGGTCCGAACCAAAAGCGGAGCAAACATTTTTCTTTTGCTCCGGTTCGTATTCAGACTGTACTTTTCGCAAGTGAACTTTTTTTTAAAAACATATCAACGCGTGTGACGATCGGCGCTCCTATTGGACAGCGAGAGCTCACGGAGGATAGATGTGGATATGGAGGAAAATATCGAGCCCGTACCGGCTCTTACGTACTGCATGTCTGCTCTGCCTATGTTTGCTCTTTTTAGAGCAAAACCACCTTCAACATCAACAGCAGCTCATTCGACACAGGCAACGCGTTGTTTCAAATTTTGGAACAGCGTCGGCGAATGCGTGCTGTCGAAAGCCGAAGGAGACTGTGCGCTCCGTGCCCTGTCCATGGATCTATAATAATAACCCTGTCCCACAACATACTGACAGCAGCATTGTGGATAAACCATGGATCTATATTAACAACGGGATGAACAGACAACGGAGAATCAGGAATGAACCAAAGAACACAATTCACAACATGATACGGGATAAGCTTTTAATAATGCTAATAATTTGAAGATGCTGCCATTAACATCACTGTATACTGTGAGAAGTTTTAACTCCAGAAGCCTCATGTTGCACAGTGTCTCCTCGTTGCTCCAGGTCTGCCCACGGCTCATTGTTGTTGTGTAGCATGCGTTAGCAGCTGTGGCTAATTCCTCACAGTTTCTGTCTGCGGTGGCTCGTTAAGCCCAAAAAATGCGCACGTATCCTGGAGTTGTGTCGGATGGACACCGGTTGTATTCAGACCTGAATCAAATTGGACCAGAGTCCGTTTGGAAGTGAACCGAGACCACAAAAAAGTGTTCATTGGTCCGGACAAGGATTTGTTTGTGTGTATTCAGACCTGCATAAAAGGTTCGGATCAGAGCTCCCAACAAATCCTGGTCTGTGTAAAGTGTGGGGGGGGAAATGAATGAAATGAAGGCAATGAAAAAACTTTGACATACCCATAAAATGGATCATTTCTATTCAGAGCATTCTTAAGCCAAGCGTATACTCTCGTGTTGCTGCATTTGCGGTGGCTCTCACCTGGTGTCACATGACCACCGCAGGAACCCTCTGTGCTTATAACTAATTAGCTGGCAGAAAAGAGAAGGTGTGTGTGATGACATTTTGGATGGAAGCATGGAACTATGTGGAAGAACATGGACGATGAGGCACTTTGCTACACTTCGAAGGGTACTGAAGAATGAGCAGTTTTGGCTCACAGTTTTGACTCACGGCCTCTATATCAGGCTCATGAGCCTGATATAGAGGCCGTGGAGGAGGCCATGGACTAGATTTTTGGTTTTATAATGTACAGTAGTTTCTTTTGCGCTGTTCCTGCCTCTGTCTGTTTGAATCTCCACTTGTACATTATCTTATCTCATCTGCACCTTGTTGCATTCATCCTGTGATTAGTTCAATAAGCCATAAATATCATAGACCAGACATGGTTTGCTCATTTGTGCACAAACACTTTAATAATGTCTGTTTCCAACAAGAACTGTGTCTTTATTCTAGGGCTGTCAAACTATTAACATTTTTAATCGAGTTAATTACAGCTTAAAAATTTATTAACCGTAATTTGCATTTCGAACTATCGGCAAAATATTATTTTTTAAAGAATATTTTTCTGTAAATGGTTGTTTGAATGGAAAGATAATTGATGACATAGTGTACATATGTAGAGAATTTGTTTATTATAACAATAAATCCACATAAAATGGCATTAACACATTCTGTTGTTCTGTAGTAGACAGTATTTTTTCAGCTCAACATATTCCGCATCTGCTAAAGCCTTTTCTTTCTTCTCCTCTGTCTCATGAAGGCTGTGGATCCTCTTCATTATTGTGCCTCTACAAACTATTGTATGAGGGGCATTTGAAAAAAGTCTGAAATGCATGTCCGCCAATGGCTGTCATTAACTCTGGTTGATTTGCTCTCAACATTTCATTTTTGGGCACAAACAACATGAAATGGTGGTAGGAAAAGTTTGGTACCCCAGCTTTAATTTAGCGTCTTTTTTTTGCTTCCGGAGAAGACACGGGGAGACGGACTGTTTCTTGCAGCGCTGTTTTTATTGTGTGCAATGGTCACGCCTGTGCGTGATCAGTGCACACAGTGGTCCTGTGCGTGTGTATGGCGTTGGGTACATGGCCATGTTACGGCTGTGCGCTCTCGTGCTGTTGAAAGCCGCTCACAGCTGCTGGACGAGGGAACCGCTGTCCAAAGCGGCCGCAGCTGCCCCAGAAAGCTGCGGACTCCCATTCACAGCATTTGCCCCCCGGTCACGTGCGTGGGGTGCCAGTCACTTGGCACATGCGTTAAAAGCGTTAATTTTTTTAACGCAATAATGAAAAACATTTCACGCGATAACTTTGACAGCCCTACTTTATTCATAACATTGCAGTTGAAATTAGTTATGAAACAATGTGTACTGTCAAATAAACGTACGCCTAGAATACAGATTTAATGAGATTCCGATAATTTCTTGATTTGATTTGATCAATTTAGTTCGGTATTGTTTTTGTTCTGAGGAAGAGGAATTAGCCAGCAGAACTTTGGTGGCCCAGGCAGATTTCCATCATGTTAGGGTGCGGGACAACAATATCTCTTCAAAACTGGCGGTCACAATCCCATTTTACAAACCAGATAAATGTGCTCTCCTCATAACAGGTGTGAATACTTTTGTAAACTACACTTTTCAGTTTCCACCCTAACCCAAAAACAAAAAGTCACATAACAACTTTCTTTTACTGCATAATTGTCGGTCTGCCGGTCTTTCACATAAAATACCAGCATAATATGTTCATGTTTGAGGTTGTAAGTAGACAAAATGTGAAAAAGTCTATAGGGTATAAATATTTTTGGGTATGATAAGAGCTAAGAAAACAAGATTAGAGAACCTTAATTGCAGCTTGTTCTTTTATATTATGTTGTTTGAGATCAATCCAGATGACAGAATCCTCAATGTGACAAGAAACACAGCATACTGTAAATGAGACTCAGGATCACAAAATAGAACCATTACATGTGATACATGTGATATTATCTACATGCCTGCAATGTATTGGTGCAGCTCTGTCCATTCGACCCTTCTCCCTTTCTCTGAGAGCTGTTTTGTTTTAGGTTTATAAAGATTACACCACACATGTAAAGTGCATATCAAAGATTCTTTTGTAGAAGAAGTGAATTATGGACTTTTCAGGTGTTAGTTTGGATTTGCCTGGATCGAGCGAATTGTCCACAACTTAGTCACTGGGGCTAGAGTGGCTCAGTTGGTAGAGCATTGGCCTTCGAGTCTGAAAGTTGTGAGTTTGATCTAGGGCTGGGTGATATGGCTGAAAACTATATCACAATAGAAGTTATTCATATCGGTCAATATTTATAATTGTTTTTTCTTTTTTTTTAAACCTAAATAAATACATTTGTTGTGCCAGCTAACACACTGGAGGCATATGTTTACAGTGTCCACCATTGTTAGTCCTGGTTTAATCCTGGTTTAGTCCTGGTTTAGCTCCTGTTTTGGCTGTTTTCGAGTTTCTTGTGCCCCAGTGACAGTTCCGTGCGTCTCTCTGATAGCCGCACGTGCTTCCCAAGGAAAAGTTCATCTCGTGCTTTTGCCGCATGCATTGAGTCTCTGTGCCCATTGCCTCTACGTTTCGAACGAACGTGAATAACTATTGACACGGCATTGAAACACGACACAATCTTTAGATCCATGGACGCTACGCTTGGTGCGGTGACTGTTGTGGTTGTTTTTTTTGCATTTCCCAGAATGTTTTGTTCCACCTATCACGCTCGGCTGTGATAGGTGACTGACTAAGTTCCCCAGAATGCTTCTGACTCGGCTTTACTTCTAACGGACTTAGGTTGAACTATCTAACATTCTCTCGACCCCATTTTCTATTGATATCGAACATGTGTCTATCGCGATATATATTGTTATCGTTTTATCACCCAGCCCTAGTTCAAGCCCACGTGAGACCTTCTCCACCGACTCCACTGATGTCTGTGTCCTTGGGCAAGACACTTAACTGACTTTGCTTATAAGAAGCGTGGAAGTAATGTTCGCTGCATGCCTTGAATATTCATCAAACTTAAATGTCCCCACTGTGGGACGAATAAAGGACCTTATTCTTCTCTCTGAATAATGGAAACTTCCAGAACAACTTTTTAAATAACCATAAAAAAGTATTATTTCCAACTCATACAGTGCAAACTCCATTGGTTTGATTTACAGGCAAATGGT